TATATACATAGAAATGGGAGAATTTATACATGGGAGATATGGGAGAATTTGTTACATTATTTTCTGTATAAAATATAGATTGTTATCGATTATTTTATAAATAATATGTTATGTAATTGCATTCGTAATTCTGGGCCACGTGAAAATGTTCAGTCAGCGATTCTTGCACGAGCTGTTTCTTTCACAATTTTCGCAAGAAGCAAACATGAATGAATAATCATTCAATACAAATTAGATTTCATTCGCTTTTTTCGCCCTTTTTATGAAATTTTTACTTAAATTTAAAAAAATCCACTATTCGATTCAAATGCATAAAAATTCGAGGAATTTTATAATATCTGTTTTATATTTGGCAGGAATCAAGTTCTTTTATCTCGTTGAAGCTTCGAAAATAAATATTGAGGCCAAAGAAATGCGAAACATTCAGTTATCATTATTTTGAGAAGAGCAGATAAAAAGCTCTCGAGGATTTATCTTTATAAGGCACATGGCACGACGATCTACACAAACCATTTTTAAAATAAATAATACATAACGAGTGAAATAATGACTTGACAAAAATATCACACTTCTCCAATTTTATCGCTTTAATTTTTTGTAAACTATTTTTAATAACACATATTTATATTATTTTAAGAATTCGAGATTATGATTATTCCAGACAGAAAATACACGCGTTTTCAAACTGGCCATTTATAAAATGTTAATATAATTAACGCGTCACGTGTGAAGTAAGTTGTTAAGCTGGCACCGTTGTAAAATCGAATTATTCGAAGGTCGGTTTATCCGAGGAAGGAAGTTAAATGGGATCGCTCGAATTTTACATACATATTGCATCGCGGCGGGCACGGCTGGCGTAACATCGTAATAACTCGATACAAGCGTTTGTAAACTTGCACCATGAGCTATAAATGCTTTCAATGTTCGGCGTACCTCGCGAGAGACTTTCACCTCGTACGAACCAATCATACGTAAGAGCTTGTGTTTGATACCAGTTCGCTACCAGTACGCGTTTTACTGCACGACACGTGTCTCCTCTCGGCATACTGAATTACTTCCGTACAGAAAAATTTCTATTCGACGGGAAAGTTGCGAGTTTACCATATGTACCATATGATTACTTTTAAGAATATTTTAATATTTTTACATCTGCAATTTGCTTAGAGAAGACTATAAATACGCGCCATGTTCGTAATATGGAAGATTATTTTGCTTCAAACGTAAATATACTATAAATAGACTCTATATATATATATATATATATATTATATATATATATATATATATATATATATATATATTATATATATATATATATATATATATTATATATTAGTTTACGTA